GAGTGAATTTTGTCCCTCTTCTTCATTGCTTTCCTCTTCCTTTTATACTCCTTAGGTAGTTCTCGACCGTTTGGACTCTACTTGTAACTACCAATTTCTTTCATAATAGCTGACTGGCCAATAACTTTCATTTGTAACTCTTACCACCACGTTTTTGTTGGAAAATATATTATTTGGCAAATGAATTTTCACTTGTGTATGTGAAATTAATCCCACATTGATTGAAAGTTGGGATTTGAAGAGGAGTTTTAAAAGGGATTAACAATCCCACATTGGTTAGAAATGGAAAAGTGGGAATATATGGGGACTATAAATAGTACCATCCCACATTGGAAAAAGAAAAAAGAAAGTGGCAAGTGGGAAAACTTAAATAGTTATCCCACATAGGATAAGAATAAGTTTTTGGACCAATTTATATATGGTTAACAATTTGTAAGGTGTAACCATTTGTTGCATAGAGACTCCTCCGTGGCCTACGCGCCCGCAGGGGGGGTGCAAATCTTGGACCGACTTGGCCTTCGAGCCTTGAACTTGTGTGCGGGCGCGACCTGCGTACACGAATGTCGGACCGAATGAGTCAAAAATTGGCCACCAAGTGCAAGCCACGTTTTGAAAATTTTCTTTTACGTTTTTCCATTTAAAACATAACTTGAAAACTGTTTTCATTTATTTTTGTAACTCCAAAACGTGAGAATTCAATGGCAGAGTTATGACTGGAGTTATGACTGCATTAAGAGGCAAAGGCTCCTCCTTGCCTATATATCCCGAACAATCTCTTCAGTTCAGACACACCACAACAGCACGAAATCTTTCTGCTTCCTTTTCAAATTCCTGTCGTCTTACAGTCACTTGGTGATTCCGTTCCGGCACACTCGTTCAGTTCGACTGTACAAACTACAGTTCACGCCGCTGTATCCTGGGAAGCAAGCGCTCGCATTACTTCGGTGAGGGGGCGAATATTGCTTTAAGGACACTGTGTTCGACACAGGCCCCGGCTTCAAAGACGCCAATCTTATCTTCTGTCAACTGCAATATTTTCTTTTTCTGTCCACTGCAATTTGTCTATTACTTCTTCTAATTCAGTTAACTGTTCAGAGTTTACCTACAGTTTTCTTCATAACCGCTTGTCACTAATTTTTTCAAATCGTGGGATGTAATCGTGATGTGCTCAAACCGCCTCAAACCGTGACTTTTAGATAACCGCAGAGTTTAGTCTGGGCGATCCAGCAATTTGGGCGACGACTCCTTCGCTCTTGGAGTCCATAAGGCACTTTACTCGCTCAACATTTGGGCGTCCATATGATATTTTATTCGCTCAACATCTGAGCGTTCTGCACTCTTGGGCGACAACGTTCCTTTGTTTGTGAGCTTCTTATTTTTTGTTTGGACTTTCATCTTGGATTCTCAACTAGGCTTCGTTCTTTGGGCCATTTAATTTAGGCTACACTTTTAGTGTGTCAACACTTACAAATAAACTTATTTATAAGTGAAATTTTAAGCTTACCTGATTTTTAACATAAACCAATCAAGGGCTAAATTAGCTTCTACGAGTATAATATAATTATTTTTACTTCAATTACTGTATTTGAAAATAAAACAAAAGTGCTTCAAGAAATAAAATTGTTAATTGGGTGTCATAATATCGTTAGCCGAAGCTCGTATTCCCCTAATTGGGCAGAGCGAATGGAAATGGAAAACATGAAAGGAAAAAAATTCATATCTCAGGTCTTAAATTTAGGCCAATTCAATTTTAAGAGAACGAGTTTACATTTTCAAAAATTGGTAATTAAAATTTATTAATTAAATAAAAATTTATATATAAAATAATTTCAATTTCTCTCCAGTACGGCAACTGTCAATCACCATCCGATGGTCGTTATCCTCTCTTATTGTCGCCGACTGCATCCAAATAACTTTGCCAAAGGAAAGATAAAATCTACATAATTTGCAACGACTGAAATTCTTCTTCAGATGCAAACTGATCAACGCTCAGCGAGAACTGAACACCGTCGGCTAAGATATTAGAGAGAGATGAAGAAATATAACGGCTATTGAAGAACACTGATTGAGCGTCGGCGACTAATCATTTTCTTCGACAGTGACTGAGGAGCATTGGTGTGATTTAAATCTATTTTTTAAAATTGAAAAACAACCATTGGTGTATTCCTGGAGCAAATAACTTCAATTCTCACAATCGAAATTTAGTTAATTGAATATGTGATCAGTTCAAAGAACTGAGGTCGAGAAATCAATGGCATGTGACCAATTCTCTTAAATTTGTGATCCGTGACCCATGCACTTTGACATGTAATTATTATACGCGATATTGATCAAATGGTCTATAACCAATTTTCTGGGATCTGTAACATGTGGATATTGGTCTTACCTATGCAATATGACATGTAACATATGAACTTGAATGTGTGACCAGTTAATTTCGATATGTAACCTATTTATTGGGACCTATGACCTACAAACCTGATATGTGACCAATTCTGTTTGATCTGTGACTTATGATATTTTCTGTGACATATGCACAAGAACCTATGACTTGGTACATGTGACGTATGACCTATCTCCATCACCTTTAGAATGTGACCCGTGACTAGTTTTGTTTGATATGTGACCAGTTCTCTGTGACCCGTAGCCTATAACCCCACTACACCAATGACATGAATAATTGGTCATGAGTCTTCTTTGTACAACCACAATCCAACCCAACCCAACCCTATTTGATTTGTGATATGTGGACATTTATTTGTGATGAACTTCCGACCTTGGTCATAAATCCTCTTATACATCCCTAATTCAACTCAAATCCAGCAGCAGCACCACCACCACCACCACTGTCACCTTCAACACCACCACATCGTATCGAATCAAAAAACCACCAACAATAACCTCCACCACCAAAACTCCACAACAGCTATTTGCAAACTGCAAATGAGCAAACCACCAATGACCAGAGCAAATAACCAATGACTAAAATAACCAAGCAAACCACCAATTGATTCAAACTACAAGAGTTTTCGACCAAAATCACCTCCAAGAACCAAACTGAATGTGCAAAATTCGGCCTCCACGGTGATGCCCATGATCACACACCACCACAGGTGGTTAATCGACACCTAAATGACCTCAACCATGAACAAACATCAACCAAAATAGCATTTCACCCAAAATCAGACACCAAGAATCGAATGAAATTTGTGAAAATTCGACCTCCATGGTGATGCCTACGATCGCGCACCACTACAAGTGGTTAATCCACACCTAGAAAACCTCAATAATGGACAAACATCAATCAAAACAGCCCTCAATCGATGTTCAGAAAATTCGATTATCATTTTTTTGCTAGTTCTAGTAAAAGTAAGAGCAAACAGAGGAGGTACATGGCACATTACGCGACGACAGTACGTCGCTTCTTACAATGATGGTGCTTGGTTGCGTCATCGGTAAAGAGAATGTCAAAGACAAGGATAGAGCGAGAAAATAGAAGATGAAGAGAGCAAAACAGAGGGAAAAGAGAGAATTTTTATTTTTATTTTTAATTTTGATTGATTTTTAATATAATATTTATTTAATAAATATTAAATAATTAATTATCACCTGAAATTTGAAAAATGAGACATAGCCCCTCTTTTGACGCACTCCCTACTCAAAATTCTTGATTTATGGCCCGTTTGATTCTTATTATTGTAGAATGAGAATGAAAAATATAGTCGTTATTGGGCCCCACACAAGAGATAGAAATTCAAAATTGATGGCTTGATGTGATGGATAACGATCATATTTTTCATTTTTATGGATGAAAAATGAGAAACAAACGGGGGCTCAATAATATCTATCAAAGACACTTTTAAAAATCTTATTTACGAAGTCGTACCTTCAGGGTTGTCTCCAAGTAATTTCCACGACATGAAAACCCACTAGTAATGAACCATTTTCAGTCAACCTTCATAAACATTCAGAGCTTGTTTGTTAGAGATTTTTGGGGAAGAATTGATTTTTGAATAGTGATATGATGGGAAATGTGTGGTTGAAAAAGAAGAAAAAATTATTGATATGATAAAAAATATTATTTTATTAAAAAATATATTGTTGAAAATGAGAATTGATTTGAGTTCTCGAATCAAAAACAAACACCCCCTCAATCTCAGCCGTCATTATGAATGCTATCTCTCTACCGTCGATTCAGCTCCCCGTTTAGAATTCCACCCAGTGTCACTGACACTGCAATCCGACATGGCATTAAAATGGTTTTAAAATCCGGATTTGGAGTCCGATATAAATACTCTTCCAAACAGTGCCTCACCGTTTCGAAGTGTAAAATCAAAACAGAAAAATGAATGAAAAACAAATAGCTGAGCAAGCTTCGAAAATAGCTTTCAGAATCTCGTAATTCTGCACTCAAATCTCTGTAAGTTGTGTATCATTGGCTTGAATTTCTCGTAGAATTTTCAATTTTTGATTTTTTTATTGTTGCTTCTTCATGTGTTTTTGAGGTTACAAATTGCACTTTGTTCGCTTAGGGTTCTTGATTATGTTTCGGAGAAATCATTTTTTGACTGCTTCTTTTGCGAAATTTTGGTTCTTTCACGGTTTCTGCGAGTTTAATGGCTGTGGGGGGAATGCTGTGGATCTTTTTATAGATTGTTGATTCACTTTATTTTTAAGCATAATTTTGTTTATTTATTTATGCACATACAAACATTTGCAGGAAGTTGGTGTTTTCCGGATTCACGTCTGCATGTTCAATTTGTTCCAGTTTATGCTACACCTTATTTGTTATCCCACTATATGTATATATTTTTTCAACTTGGACTCGGTACTTGCTTTCTTTGTGATTTCTGACTTTGTTTTTTCATTTGTCTATTTTTCGCTTCCAAATTTATTTTCTCATGAACTATGGTATTTTCTTCTATTTTCTGCATGCAGTTTATTTTGGATCAGTAAAGAAAGGTTGTAGGATAAGTTCCAATCTTTAAGTTCCAGTAATTATGGGTGAGGAGGATGCCCAGACAGATAAGCCTGAGGCAGCTGCGAATGGCAATGCTAAGCCGGAGGAGAAGAGTGAGGTTGTGACAGAGAAGAAAGAGGAAAGTAATGTAGTAACAGAGATGGAAGAAGATAAAAAGGATGATGGGAAAGATGAGGCCCAGAATATGGATGTGGACAAATTGCAGAACAAAGAAAGCAAAGAAACTGATGAAAAAGAAGCAGAGAATGAAATAGGAGAAAAAGAAGAAAAGGAAGAAATCAAAGATGAAGAAGAAGAAAAGGAAGAAACAAAAGGAGACGAAGATAAAGAAGAAGCAAAAGGAGAAGAAGAGAAGGAAGAAATAAAAAATGAGGGAATGGAAGATGAATCTGGCAAGAAACCTGATGATGAGGCTGAAGATAAGGTTGAAGTGGACCTTGACGAAGTGAAGGCTGAGGAGGAAGAGCCAGAGGAGCATAAGGAGGGAAAAGGATCGAAGAAGCGACCTAGAACCAAAAGTCATTCTGGACAAAAAGACAGGAGTAAGAAGAAGAAAGCTGAAAAGGAGGAGCCAGAAGTCCCCATAGAGAAGAAGGCAAAACATCCTAAAACCCCCACTAGAAAAAAGGAGGAGGAGGAGCCTAAAACTACTACACCTTATGCAATTGAACGCCCTGTACGTGAAAGAAAATCTGTAGAAAGGCTGGTTGCTACCATTGAGAAGGACAATGATAAGGATTTCCAAATTGAAAAGGTCTTTTCTTTTATGTCTCAATTTGTGACCTTCTTTTTCTAAATTTGCATTTTACTTTTTGGCATTGAGCACAACAGTTTTTAACGGAAAATACTTTGAAATATAATAATGTCTCTTTGCAGGGTCGTGGAACTGCACTGAAAGATATCCCAAATGGTACATCTTTTAAATATTTTCTTTGGCTCCAATTTACTTATGAATTGACATTCAATTTAAACTGAAATTGCAATAAGTGTTGTAGTAATATGATTCTTGAATTTTAACTCTAGTGTGAGCATATGAATATGGTGGTCGTGCTCAGGGTGGTATTATGACTGAATCACTCTCTTCGTTATATGAAACTCTGTGAGCGTTAATCTGTTCATTCTGAATGTAATGCATACCCTACAAATTGGCTGACTTTGTATTTCTCTCCATCCCTGTAACAGTGCGGGATTTCTTTCTTTCTTTTTTCATTCTCTATTATTTTTCAACGAAACACGGTAGATTGTTTGGATTATTCCCTCATCCATGTATTTCTAGCTCGTTAAGTTAATGTGATGGCATTGTATGTGGAGAAAAGAACTTTGACACGACTTGCGTGAAATCTATCATTGTATCTACATGCAGGACACATCTTCTAAGGGATGGACATGAGGTTGTTAGTCAAGATTTTGAGTGGACACATCTGATTTATAATAAACGTATTTCTTCTGGTTAATCTTTTGCTTGAGTTGCAATCTGTGGTATTTTTTCTTCTTGTTAATTAGAGTATTGAATACATGCCTTTCTCCATGTTTTTTTTTCTTCTTGTTATGGCACATTATATGCTAATGCTATGTCTTCTCATTTAAACCCCGTTGCGGGATGGTTCACAAAAGGACAAAAAAAAACTCTCATATATCCTATTTACATTTCTTCGCATTGTTGTAGAGCTATGAAGCTGTACAGATGAATACATCGTTGTTTTCTGAACTTTATTTTTCTTTCAGTTGCATACAAGTTATCAAGAAGGAAGACTGATGACACCTTCAAATTGCTGCATACTATTCTCTTTGGAAGGAGGGGAAAGGTGACTTTTGAGTTCCTGTATAGAGCATTCTGAATTTCCATCCTTCCATGACACATTCTTTACCTTTTCCGTCTCCTCTCTTCTTCTTATACTTTCATTTTGTGTAAAGTGTCATATCACTTTATCCGTCGCAGTGTTTCTTCCAGATTCAGACTCAATTTAAGTTATCTTGAAAAAAATCTGGCTATTGGATATTCATAGGTTTTTGAGTAGTATCTCTTTTATGTGAATGATACTATTTGTATTTGAAGTTGGTGAAAATGTCAATTTCTTCCAGAAGCTTCGATGCATTCTGAACTATGTATTTTGGGATTAGCACAATATATTTAAGCATTTCAGATGACCAATTTAATATTTAGTTTCTTTCATCTTCTATTGACTTTCTTGTATATATCCTTTTTGGATCTGTTCAGTGCTTCAGCTTTGTAACTATTCACCTTAGTTATATTTTTTTTGCCATGATGTTGATATCCAAATGTAGTTGTATTAGTCTGTGTTTGCTTGACCACATGGCTCCAGCACTTCATTTGTTCCATATTTTTTTGATACCGTAATACCTTCCGGATTCTTATGATATTATTTCCTTTGTTGTAAGTTTGTGTAATAAATATAGAATCTTTTCTTTTGAGCTAGTTTGTAATTTATACGGTATGAATCATATTCATTTTATATTTTATCATGGTATCACAGCCTTGGGCTAAACAATCTTCACTTCAGTTCTTCGGCGAGCGGCCTTGTGCCTCTCATCTGGCCAGTTCATTCCTTTTTGTTTTATCTTGTCCAACCAGTACTATTTTTTCCGGCCTCATGTCTGACTTTGATTGTGTTTTTATTTTTTATGTGGGAAATCAATCAAGTCGCTATTCTGCAATTTTAAGAGTCCTTGCACTTATTGCAACATATTGAGAGCTACAATCTCTTTCAAGTTCTGTTCTCTCTTTTTTCTTTTTAACCTTTTCAGCTTCCTTGCTCCCTTCTTGTTGTTGGAGCTCTATATTTTTTTTCTGTCTGTTTAGTTATGTCAAAAAAATAAAAATAAAAAATCCTTTATTTGTGTTAGCTTGAATCCACATTTCACACCTTAGAAAAGAACATATTCTTCGAATATCTGACTTTTTAAAAATTTCATTGATCTGTTCCCAATCTACCAGTTTTACAACCTTATTATTCAAGATATAATGCCATCTATTTATCTACTGGTTTACGAACTTATTATATGGTTTTTCTATCTTCTGGTTAATGACCTTAATCTAAGTTTTCTTCTTTTTTTAATGGATCGGTTCCTGACCTTGCTTCTAAGGTTTTTCCTTTACTAACCGATTCTTGACCTTGTTCCGAAGGTTCTTTCTTTTATTGATCAGCTATTGACCTTGTGATGCAATGGGGATAGCAGTCGAATATTGGCATGTTGCGACCATCCGACATAGCTGACTTGAATATTTGTTGGAATCAATTCTATGGTCCCAGCTGGAGGATAAATTCGCGGCCTGTCTTTTTTATTGTCTTTTTATAGTATATTAAAGAGTCAATTTGTTTCCTTACATATTTTTTCATATCATGTTAGGAAAGTTATTTTTTATCCTTAATTACGCAAGAAATAAGGTTTGTACTTCATTTTATTTCCTTAAATATTTTTACTTATCATGTTAGGAAAGTTATTTTGTGTCATTAATTATGCAAGAAATAAGGTTTGTAATAAGGTTATACTACCCTACTATGTGTGCTTCGAATTTGTGGTGAATTGTTAGGAATAAAAAATGATATTTTTTTCAATATGAATCAATGAATTATTGACTTCCAATTCTCGGGTGTTCGTAGAATCAACAAGTCTTTGGTTGTGTTCTTCATTCGTGCATCATCCCTCTAAGTGATGGTCGGTGTTCGTGAAGCTACAATTGTAAATCGTGAAGCTGCGATAGCAGAAGTTATGTCGCATTATGAAAGACCTTTCTGTCCCTTTCAACTGAAGACGGAAGCATCTTTAGATTCTTATAATATCGGTTATGATTGTCTTCCAATTTTCGATGAGGATCCCAACGACGAGATCTCCTAAGAGTGGTCCATTTCATTAGTTGGTGAAAAATATCCTAGAAGAGCTATAGTTGTGCATGTGCTATCTCCTCCATTTCCTAATCCCTTTCTTCAATGTAGATTCAAATTTCAACCATTTGTTTACTAGAAGAGATCCTCATTTATCCCTCGAGAACATATCATCAGAAGCTGGAAATCAAAGTTGGGCCTTGGGGGGCAGAATTTCAAAACGTTGTATTTCTTTAGTGAACCTTCCTTTCCTGCGAAGCTCTTTGAATTTCTATTTGAGAGCGGTAGAATATTGGCATTTCACGACCATCCGAAAATAGTCGATTGAGGGTTGTTTGGCAAGATTTCTACTTTTGCTTCTTGTAGAAGACTTCTATTTTAGGCTAGCTTCCTCTAAAAGCTCTTCTATGCAAATAAATTATTCAAACATGTTTAAAAACAACTTTTTAGTCTTAGAAGCGGCTTTTGATATTTCAAAAGCTAATGACCCTCATAATTAGTTGGAAGCAATTCTATTGTATGATTGAACCCAATTGCCATCTTTTTTAGCGTTTTTCTATTATTATTATTTTTATTAAAGCATCATTTTAATTCATTACATAGGTTTGATGCGATGAATTGGGGGTGAATTGTTTTGAATAAAATATTGATATCTTTTGGAGTTTGTTATTTTACGAATCATCACGATTAATTGATTCTCAAACTTCTTAGATATTTGTAGAACCAACGAGACGAGTTTTTGGTTGTATTCTTCATTCTCATGTCATTCAGCTGCTAACTTTTTGCTGCTAACTTTTTGCTCGAGGTTTTTTCTTAGTGACCGATTCTTGACCTTGTTTACAAGGTTTTCATTTTTAACTGGTCAGTTCTTTATGATTCTTTATCTAACATTTCTTAACCTTGTCCAAAGGTTCCATTTTTTTTTTCACTTCCTCAATGAAGTTTTCAAATTGATTGTCTGTACATCTGAATCTTGGCAATGATGTTCAACGTGCATATATTTCGTCCATTAAAAGTTGCAATTATGATTTCCATACATCATCCTTTTGGCAATTTCAAGATTTGATGATTTGATCAATTGCTTACCACCATTTAGTTCCAAACTCGATTTGGTGCTATATACCATATTGAGTTTGAGGGGGATGTTAAAGATGTGGAAGTGTTTCCATTTTTTCATGATAACTTCCAGATTCTTATGATATTATTTCCATCATAGCATGGTTGTGTAATCAATATAAGATATTTCTTAATTTGCTTAATTTGTTTCCTAGCAGCAGTATGCTTCGGTTTGTTAACTTGAACTTATGATTCCAATGAATTTATACAGGCAGCTCAAGTCAAGAACAACATATCTAAATTTTCTGGGTTTGTGTGGCCTGATAATGAGGTAAACTCTGTATTATGTTGTTGATGGATTGTGCTTTCGCTGCTTCGCTATTGCTTAGCATTGTCCCAACTCTAAGCATGTAACATACACTTCATGCCAGGAAAAGCAAATGATAAAAGTAAAAGACAAACTTGACAAGTGTGTCAAAGAGAAATTGGTGGAATTCTGTGATGTTCTTGATTTGCAGATTCCCAAGGCTAATGCAAGAAAGGTCTGTAGTTATTTCTCTTCTTTTTATGTTGGGCTGGAAACTTCTATATTCACTTTCATCTAGCTATTGACTGTTCCCTTAACGGGAAATAATGATTCTTGACTTTCTGCTATTTTTTTTTAATCTTAGCATTCATATTCTGAGATATACTTATTGCATGCATGTTTTAAATATACCCCTATCTGATTGACCCTGAAATCAAGAATATTGATCCGATATTTGGATATCTCTTATATTTGTCATTTTCTGTGCATCCAGGAAGATATTGTTGCAAAGTTGATAGAGTTTTTGATGGCTCCTCATGCCACAACCACAGATTTGCTTGCTGAAAAAGAGCAGGTTCTCTATTTTGCTCAATTTTTTAACTTAACCTAAGTCAACTGGAATAAGTAACCTTTTTTGCTTTCACTTAACCTGTTAATGTTCATTTACTGCCTGTTGTTTACCAGTCAAGTAAAGGCAAAAAGCGAAAGAGAGATGGAAAAAGAAGTGAATTGGCAACGGGGAGCACTCTTTCAAAAGGATCAGCTGAGGTATCACCCTTTCTCGTTAGTATTACAAACAGGAAAAATTTAGCGGAATAATACTTAATATATTTTGTTAGAATCTATGTACATGTACTCTTGAGTAGGTTTGTTCCATTGCCGTTGTCATATTACTTTTGCTTTTCATTTGGTTGGTGGGTGGAGTGGGGTTTGGTTGTGCTGAAGCATTCTTGTTATCCTTCCTCTTATCAATGACATGCTTAGATCAAACTCTAGGTGTGATACATCCTTGAGAGGTTTGTATGTGCAGCATTCAAATATTTTTCACGGTGTTGATTATGAAGAGAATAATTATAGCATCATTGGGGTTCCAAGTCCGATCCGAACCTCTTCCCAAAAACAATAATAATAATAATGATGATGATGATCATCATAATAATAATAATAATAATAAATACAGAAAGGAAGACTGAAGCCAATAGGCTCCTTTTTTATTACATAGGTGCCATCATATTTCTAGTACTTATTCAAGGATGATGTTATCGGGACATGCTCAAGTTTAGTGTTTATTTGACTGAGAAATCTATAACTGATCTGACTTTTGATTAATGTCAAGATTGATATGAAGTCTATGTTCCACACCCCCAAAATTAAAGAAATGAAGCAACACAACTACCCCAAAAAGGAAAAATTATGTGCATTTTGTTGATGATAGTGGAAGCTTCGCTGCTCAAATTAAATCGGAAAAATTAACATTTTCAAAGATAATGCGTGAAAGCATGTTCATAAAGTTGGTCAACTTATCACCGGTCATCAATCTTTATATATTGGTGTATTTCCAGAGTCAAAAGAGAACTGGAAGTGCATCGAAAAATGGTGAGAATAAGAGCATACCTGAATCTGAAGATGAATCAGAAGAAGAGAAAGAGGAAATGCACGAAGAGGAAAATGTTGATGGTGCTAGTGAAAAATCAGAAGAGGAGATTTCCGAACATGCTGAAAGCCAGGAGAAAGAGAGTGAATCTGAAGATGAGTCTGTCAAGGACAGAGGAAAGCATAGGCGAAGTTCAACGAAGTCTTCAGCAAAGGAGTCGACTGAAAAAGGCAAAACCAAGAAAGTTGCACTTGCTAAAAAGGCCAGTCCTCCACCCAAAAAGGCTCCTGCAAAGTCACCTAGTCGCACAAAATACAATAATGATACAAGTGCAAAGAAGTCTTCTGGTAAGGAGAAAGCTGAAGCACTTGAAGAGAAATCAGCAAATCCAAAGAAGTCTGCATCAAAGGAGAGTACTGGTGAGAATTATAATTTTATCCACTTAATTTGAATTGACTTTCTGCTTGCTATAATTCTCTAATTTGTCATTTAAGTGTTCTGGTGACCAGCCATAATGCTATCTCAAAGTCTGAACTTCCTATCAGTTTCAATTGGGATCTCAGGAGAAGCTTTTTCTGATGCTCATTTTCATTTTGTTCAAATGAAGGAAAGAAGGTTGTGAAAGGCAAAGGCAAGCCCAAGGAGGACAAATTAAAACCAAGTGACAATGACCTCAGAAGTGCAACATGTGAAATTCTCAAAGAGGTGGACTTCAATACGGTGAGGATCTCAAATCATTTTAAAACTTGCTCGTTTCATTGCTTTTGCGTAGTTAAAATAACATAAAATGAAATGTCTTTTAAAGAACTTGAAAGTTTTCCTGATTTTGATTATTGAGAAGTCATTCTTAATAGAAATTGATAGTTCTTTCTATATAATAGTTTGTGGCATCCTATATATAGAAACTGGGAGTTCTCTTGACTCCATCCTCATCTGCATTTATTTGTTATTCATGTTATTTATCAGTTATGATTCAAATACTGACATATCCAGTATACATCTGTTTTAACCTTGCAGGCCACTTTCACCGACATTCTGAAGCAACTTGGTATGCGTCAATGAATTATTATTTCAAGATATTGCAGTCTTACAATGATTAAAAATTCCCTTTTACTTTCTTTTCGCTGCCATTTCTATTTCGGGTTGGGGAGTTGGCCTAGGCCCTTTTACTTTCTTTTCACTGCCATTTCTATTTTGGGTTGGGGAGTTGGCCAAGGCAAATTGCTTTCTTTGGAGTTATCTGAGGGAAAATGTTTTTATGACTATCAAACATTTTTTGCGTATCTGCAATACTATGTGGATATCTTAAATTTCATGAATTAGAAATATCACCACATTAGCTTGTGGGATTCTGATCCCCCAGAGATCTTGACATGCTACTCCCACCTTAAGTGGACTGCTTGATCATATTCTTTCTGTAATTGGCAATTGTATTCTGAAAATCAAACCTTTTATTGTCTGTTGCACAATGCTTAGAATTCCATTACATCTACTTAAATGTGTGTGATGAAACCTCTTATCGTTTCAGCCAAGCGCTTCAGTACAGATCTGACCCCCAGAAAATCATCAATAAAGCTCATGATCCAAGAGGAGCTCACTAAACTAGCTGACGAGTCAGATGATGAGGAGGATGAAGGTGATGCCAAGAAGGATGGAAAACGGCCTGCTGGTCGAAGCATGGCAGCCAGATGAGCTATAGAGAAAACTTGATGAGCAAAGTACCCAGTTTTCTGTTCGTCTTCTTCAGCTACTGTATAATGTATTCCGTCTTTCTCAATTGTGTTGGACCTCTACTGTAGTTTGTTCCCTATCTCTCTTGTTCAATAGGAATTAATAGTGTCAAGCACACAACTTTTATGTACACAGCATGAAATTATGTAGCATATCTATTTTTCCTTGTCTATTTCCAGGTACTGACCCTTGATTGAACTGAGTTCTCAAGTTTTTGAGGAATCATTATAGACTGGATGGATTAACAAAAAGCAAGAACCATAGAAGAGGAAGAAAAGAGGTAATTACTTAAGACCAGCTATTTAGTTTTAACTTTCTAAAAATCAGGTTTAATCAAAAATCAGATATTAATTTCACAATTAATATTAATAATAATATTATAAAATTATATTACTCCATATACCCACCCCTACCCCCACCAAAATTTTTAACCCTAAATAATCAATTCTCTTCGCTCTCTCACTTCTCTCCAACAACACCGACCGTCGCCTCTCCTTTCTCCCTCTTCTCCTCTCCCTCCCGCCCTCCTTCTTAGGCTGCGACGCTGCTGTTGGTGTGCAGCGTTGCGGCGACACCCACAGCAGCGTCGCGCGACGCTGTTGCGACGCCACCGCCTTTTCTCAGCATCGCGACGCTACATTTCGCTGTGCTTGAGCGAGAGGACTAATGCTGGTGGCGTTTTTTGGATCGATGTGATGAGTAGAAAAGGGTATAATAAAAGCATTTTCACTTCTAGCTGGCCAATGCTTCCGGAAATTAAAAAGAAGACTGGAGTGTTTGGTTGGTTCCGGTGAAGAGCCGAGACTCTATGCTTGAAGTAGTGGTGGTGGTGTTTTGTATGATTGGATGCGACGGTAGTGGTGGTGTTTTGTGACTAAGAAGGTGGAGGCGGTGTTTTGTGACCAATTTTTTGATTGATCTGTGACCAATTATTGGTGGTGGATCGGGATATTTGGTGTCTGTGACCTAGCGATTGTGATTTTTTTGGTATCTGTGACCTAGCTTAAAATTGATAATTTGTAACTAAAAAAATAATCTGTGACCTCGAAATAATGTGACCTATAAAATATTAGACTGTGACTTTGAAATAATCTGTGACCTACAAAATTTTTTATTCGTGACCTGAAAATAATACGTGACCTATAAAAATTTTTATCTGTGACCTCAAAATAATCCGTGACCTACAAAATTTTTTATCTATGACTTCGAAAAAATCGCCGGAGTTGTTGCCGATCACCGGAGTAGTCGTCGGAGCAGAGGTGGCAATGAGATGGGTTAATTATATTATATTACAGTTTAATATTTAATTTAATATAATAATTGTGAAATATAATTAATTCATTTATGAAAAACCTGATTTTTGAAAATCTAAACGTTCGAGCCTGATTTGTGATTTTGTGAAAGTAAATACCTGACCCATGAATTTTTCCCGGAAGAAAAAGGATGCCAAGAACATCTTTGTCAATTTCGAAAACAAACTCATTCATACAATATGTATAATTTGGTCTATTATTAAATGTGCCCTTCATCCGCCTATCTAAATTAATTAGTAAGGTGATGACAAAAAAGTAAAGGTTACACGTGAAGCAGCTACCTGGGCCTTCCTGTAGTAGAAGACGGCCCAGAGTCCATCTGATTATACACGCTGGATCCGTACACATGGCCTTGAGGTCCCATCACACCATAATAACCACCCCCACTATTCTCCATATTCACAACACTGCCATTCCCACCACTCTCCTTTTCTCCTCTCCCAGTCATTGCAGTCTTCTCACCTTCCATATCACGAAATCTCTGCAAGTAAATCTTTAATGGTTCGACATAATCCTCGAATCCAAGAGTCGACATAGCCCAAAGCAAATCATCGCCGTTGATTGTCTTTCTCTTTTCCCTTTGGCACTTATCGGACGCCTCGCCGGTGATGAAGCTGATGAATTCGGATACGCACTCTTGAACTGTTTCTTTCGCGTCCTTTGATATCTTGGCGTTGGTAGGAAGCGCTTTCTTCATGATTCTGCTCACATTTGCTATTGGAAGGAACCTGTCTTGCTCTTTAAGAGAGCTTTCGTTTTGGGAATTGTGGTGACCTCCGGATTCGTTATCTGAATCCGCCATTGATGAAGAAGTACGAACAAGTATTCAAAGTGAAAAGAAGTTAAAGGGCTTTGCTTTACTGGGAGAATATATGCATTTGGGTGTGAACAGAGAAATTAGTGGTTGAGGCGTGAAATAGTCTTGGTACCGAAAATTCAGTAATCAAAACAATTGATTTGAACTCTACAACGTTTTGAACTGAAAATTGTGAGCTTCTTTGATCGTTGTTGGAGTATCAAGCCCAGAAAGAGTTGGAGAAAAAAGGTGAAATCGGATCAAGAGTCTGAACTTGAAAAAAAATTGGATTTTACACCAGACTATTTGTTCACTAACAGAAAAATCCAAGAGTTTTTGATGAAGCAAGCTCACCAACTCAAAAACCAGCGATAAGATTTGATGCAATCGCGCCGAAATTCGAAATCAAGATACTGAAGTAAGTGTTTTGACTGAATTCACCAGAAGCTTAATAAATAAAAATTAACAGAGGGTTTGGTGCCGGAATATGCTTCTTCTCCGAGGGAGATTGCGGAGGTTTGCAGTGAAGTCAAGTGTGGAAAGAATGCGAGGTCTCTTGGATGAAATAACCCGAAGTAAGTCAGACGTGGAAGATTTTGGACCGTTGTTTGTCGATAACAAAGCTTGCCGAGGGACGACTTTCCGGCCTTTCGATTGGTTAGAGTGAACTGATCTGGACCGTCAATTTCGTATCTGGCACGTGGTCGGTTACGACCTGATTTTTTAGTACCCAATGGGATTGTCGTGATGCTTACGTCCTTCTCATCCGTCCTAATTATTATTTTCCAAGAGAGGGACATTTCACGTTTGGCCAAAATATTAATTGGATTCATTACTTTTGTTTTAGGAATAATAAAATAATTATATAAGAAATTACTATTAAGTACAAGAAACAAAGACAGCTCGCAATGGATTGGAAAATGTTTCATCCCATCCGTCCTTTCTTTTTCTCGAAATGATAGAAAATGTTCTTACATAAGTAAAATAATTCGAGGATGAGAATGAGGCTAATTCATATACAATAATGAAGTGGGGAATGCTCATTGAAGTAATATCACTCTTTTAAGCAACTTAAAAGTGTTTTCTTGTGATAATGGAACAATTCTATTTCTAGGTTACTTAAATAGCAAAAAACATCATTTAATAAGGACAAACTTTATATATATATTTTTAAAAAAGGCATATTTCTACTTGGGAAGTAAATAAATTTGGTAATAAAAAATACTCACTCCGTCTCAATTATATAGGTCGCGTTTCTTTTTTCTCTTGTCCCAAATATATATGTCTGTTTCTTAATGTAGAATATTTTGTTGTATTTTTTTACCAATATACCCTTATAAAAATTTCTCCACTTAATATGCCAACTTCTTGAAATCATCCAAATACACACATTTCCCACTTTTTGGAAACATGAAACAACCCTCATTTCTTTTTCTTCTTCATATTGTTTATCAATTCCAATAATAATTTAGTTTTATATACTGAAAATTAAATAGGGGTAAATTAGGAAAGATCTTGACAAAAAATAATTTTCCAATTACATTAAGGGTGGGTTTGTCTCCCATTATTTGGAGAAAAATAGAGTAATGAATAGTATTTTTTGGAGAATGTGTGGTTGAAAAGTAAAATAACTTTATTAGTTTGTGTGTTGAATATTTTATTGGGTGAATGTGTGGTTGAAAATCTTACTGTAGCAAACGATTTTTTTGGAATAATGGTAGACAAACAGGTGCTAAAGAAGTTTTCTTAATCCATGTGAAAAACGAAACAAACTTATATAATTGGGACGGAGGGAGTATGTAAGTTAACATTTTACGACAAAATAAAGTGTGAAAAAAAAAAATGAATTGTTCGCTAAAAAGTTGGTCAAACTTAATTTTTAACGCTATATTTCATTGAATCTACAACCTTATCCACTTTTTCACCACGCATTTCATTTACAAGCGAGTCGAATTATTTCGTGCACTCAATAATAGTTGACTAATGCACTATCAAGGGATTATTCTCAAGTCGAAGTCTACAGCAGCACCATTTGGGCTACAGTTTTTTTTTTTTCTCAAACTTTTTATCTGAGATATAATTGGGACATGATGATAACTTGGATGAAAATCAACACTTTCTTGTTCAAGTTGCTGAGTTTCATTCAAGAAACAAAGAAACTAGTGGACAATCATCAACCAAAATAAATATCAAGCATAGTTATTCTACGCGTAATCCAACTTATCAAGCACTAATTTAAAATTTCGTACATTTCACCAAGTCCTTACTCCATCGACTGATATATATATCACAACCCTGTTCAAGATAGTTTCAAAGATTTAGTGATATTCTATGTGTATATACGAGATATTTAACACACCAAACTCCCTTTTTTTTTTCAACTTGGATGAAAATAGTGACTTCTTTCGATATGTTTCATTCATCGGATACCTTAGTTTTATTGAAATTCATATCGACTTCGGAGGGAGAAAAGTTAGTCCAAAGTTGAAAATAAAGAGGTCTGTGATGTCATTCTAACAATAAATTCATATTTATTCAAATTCATATTGTGTGGTTGTATAATATCATGAGAACAATACTGCTATTACAGTTTTAGGCATATAAACTTGACATAACTGAATTATTTTGCATTTAGGTCGAGACCATAGGATTAATGCATTGACTTGATCTAAGAAGTCATGTACAAATCACTCCCTACTTGGCCAGAATAGGTCACAAAGGAATTGCAATTTTTGTAACGGCTCGGCTCGGCTCGGCTCGACTCGGCTAATTCTTTTTTTTTTAAACGTTTGATTCAGTATTTTAAGTTACAGATATTCGTTTTACACGATTTAAAAAATTTGTTGAAAATGTTGAAGCGCGGTTATGATAAATATATGATCGATAAATTTTAAATATCAAAATTTGAAGTGCGGTCATAATAAATATAAGATTGATAAATTTTAAATATCAAAATAATTTTA